TATATATATATATATATATATATATATATATATATATATATATATATATATATATATATATATATATATATATATATATATATATATATATATATAATAGACCTCAAATACTAAACTTATCATAAATGTAAACCAGAATGTTGACTACTGTCAATACCATAAAATGAGAAAATTCATACAGGAATTTTGGAGCAAAAACAGACCAAACGAAGAGGTGATAACGTTGAATATATAGAGATAATAAACACAATGACATGTTCAACTGTAACACAAACCATATCCAGCAAAGCAATGCATTCCGCTTCTGTAATAGTGAAATCGATGTAACAGATTCTCCAACTAAATACTGCCACCAACCAAATACTGTTAACAATGGTCCAGAATAAGTACTAAGCACAAGTTGCATAGCAATCCGTATCGGTTGATAGGTTTCCACGCCAACAAATCCAGCCGCAACGTCGATCGTTGAAAGACTATTCGAATTACCCTGTAAAATAAAATCAAAATGAAGACTATTAACGGCATCGGAAATGCTACTGATCAAGATTAAACATCAAGTTTTGAAAAGCATCGATATACTTACCAAATAAAAAACGAAGAAAAGATGGCACGGATAACCAAGAATGGTGTCGCATCAATCCATGCCAAACAGTATCCCAGAAACAATTGTAGGACAGCAAGTGGTAGATTATATGTTCGCATGATAAATACTGCCCAGACAATTAAGCTTAGAGGTAAATCTCGAAGTAATAGCAACAAAAATATATCCAACAGAAATACCACAAAAAATATCACCCTGCATAATGTGAGCTTGAAAGACCCTTACACAAGAATTACAAACTAATTAAAGAAAAAAAATGAAAGTTGTTCACTCCGATTTTGACTTGTCCGTTCGCGAAGAAAAAGAAAACCAGCAAACTATCTTCTAAGCTATATCTTTATTTATAGCAATAAGTAGAACTGTGTTCACTTTTCTGTGACTCCGCTGAAAACGTTATAAAATAAACTTTAGAGAACTAAAAAAATGGACTTACTGAGATTTGTAATGGTGTGTCAAAAATGTTCCCAATATAGTAACTGATATTAAAAGACGTATAAATTGTGGATGGCTTGTTCTCTTACCATAATGTAAAATTAATCCAATGCCAATCAAAATTAAAGACAATGAAGAGGAAATAAAGCGCAAACTGCTGAAATGTTTTCTGCAATGAACCAATTTAGACCAAAAAAAGATCCACAAATAAGAAAGATTGCTCTAAAACTATCAGTTGATCATTTCTTTTTTCATATGTTTGTTGCTCGCAAAAGTTAAACTATTAAGCTGGCTTCCCATCATATGAAATCAGTGGTACCTTCCCTACAATACACAAAATAAAATAAGGAAAAAGGACAGTGTTCTTTCACCTCTTATAATATTTTCGCTCAAACTCAATAATTTACATTCGAAAAATGAATAAAAATGTGAATCTTATGCTAATTCATGAAAATGAGCTTACAGCAAAGATGCAAGATCCAGTATATCGCTGGAACCACCAATGCTCGTTAAAATCTCGTAATAATTCAGCAAACCAGCTTAAAAAAAGGCAACACCGAATATAACATAGTAATCTGAACCAAAAAAAAACAAAAACACTGGTGCATGAAATTTTCCGTTTACATTGAATACTGGATATGGTCTTAAAACATTCGCCCCTCCTCAGGAAAAAGATTAACGTTTGGTCGTTCAATTATTTCTTGTAACACATCGGCAGACTGGGATTTCAATAGCGAGAACATCAAATGATGTGACTTTTTGAAATTTTCAAAAAAAAGCACCGTATTTTAAAAAATATCATATTACCCCACCACCTAATGTTACATCAATGTTCTCCTTTGGGAGAATCTGGAATGAAATAGGAGTTTTACGAATAATCTGAGGACTGGAAAATTTAGACGAAAATCAGAAATAACTTACTTTTGTTGCTTCGACTAATACTTTTTTCCAGAATCCAACGTCGCCGATTTGATTCTGTGTAACCTCGACATAAACGATGAATTATTAATAAAAATGATATTACTATCATCTTTTGAAGTTTCGCTGGATTATGCGAACGAATCCTAGAATAGAAAGCAAATGCAGCTATGGTTCATATTATTTTTTATAACATAATGGAAATCGTCTGCTTAAGAAACGATAATTTTGAAGCTTGTTTAGAATAAATTTCCTTCAACACATTCTCAGTCATTTTGTAAATTTGATCACAACAGGAAATTTGATGCGCGATATATGGTCGTAAGAAAAAAGAAATAAAACTGCCTTCCATTATGGAACCAAGCATGAAGTTCTCCAAGAAGCATAACAAAAAGACAAGAAGCGAAAAAGAAATACCTGGAAAAATGAATGAATTAAATGAGGCAAAATTTGGCATTGTTGGCTATATGACCGATTATTTATACTAAATCTAGTATTTATGCAAAGTATTTCTCTCAAACAATTTTAAAACTGGAATTGATGGATTAGGTTTCAATTTGGGTTTAAATTTTGAAAGTTATTGAGATAAAAAGGAAAAACTAATCTCAATTTTTTGAAATTGAACCTATCAGAAGATGAAAGTAAACTGAGTACCGCTTAGTGGTATCACCATTAATATAGGATAGATTGAATTAAGGGGAGCCGCGAGAAAAGAACTTACAATATTCCTATGGTGACGGATAACCTCATTAATCGCTCCACTCTTCTAATTATGCAGTCTAATCAAATAGTATCAGGACCTTTACATTTACAAATCTATTCATCTACAAAAGAAAGCTTACTGTAAATCATGCTCTTCTTCTATCAAACTTGACGCAAACAATGCAGCAGAATGTAATAACTGCATAAAAATAGTAAAATGTATTGAAATATCTCTATTTCGGAAAACTGAAAATATTTTTTTTAATATGAATTTTATAAATGAAAGGATACTCCAAACATCCACTTAATTTAATAAAAATCTTATTGCAGAATCAGTGGGGTTTCAGCAATCTTATTTTCATGATAAACTTACCACAGATATCATGTGAATACGTAAAATATATCAAACAAATAGAAATATATGATACCTGCAAAAGAATTCATGCTGTTGTTAAAACAAAAATTACAATCGATAAAAGAAAAAAACAGGTATATGATGTCAGTTTAATGCTTTTTTCTTGTATTTATTTGTCTGGACGAGGCCCACTCTTCTAAGCGAAAAATCCAGTATTCGAAAAGTAGACCGCAACGTACTGATGTTTGAAATAAATCTTAATGCTTTTTAAACTAATTTGTTCTTTAATAAACGGGATGAATCCATTAGAGAATTTATATCAGCTCTTTGTGAACGTTAGCAATCTATAAAGTTTGCAGAAAACAATAAAAGTTTAACCCAATATGATTGGATTTGTCAGTTACAAAATCTTTCGCTTTCTCTCTTCTTGTTTCAGTGCCGCAATGGTGCAAGACCTATTAGTAAATGAAGGTGAAGAAGATACGATTAGCTGATAGTTATTGATGGAATGTATATACTTATTTCAGTTAGGAAGAAAATATACATTAATGGAGATTGAATTCAAAAAACATACAGTGAAAGAGAGACCAATAGCAATCATTATCTGTATAATATTGAAATCCGTCTTCCTACGTATAAGTTGTGATTGAACTTTGTATAATTTCAGCAAACATCCCGCAATCAATTCGTCAACATTTAAGGAAATATTCGTTGTACAGTGTTTTTGCAAAGTTTCATAAGAACGACTGATACAGTAGTTTAGCTCATCTATAAACAATACTGTGTCTTCAACTCAATCCAAGCCTCAAGGTAACTTGTCATTATCTGAATAAAAAGCAAACAATAAATCCAAACTCATTATCATATTGTTTGCTTCAATCCCTGCATCAACTTAGCATTTTCAATATGGTTATTGCTACAGTTACCAGAGATTTCTTTGAAAAAACGTGGTGCAAAGATTAACGTCATGCATCTTTTCAGGAACAGCAAAATCTCTCTAACAAAAAGACAATATTATTTACCTGATGCTCCGTCCAATCTTCGAAATTGTTCGGCGTTTTGCAGTATGAACAGTAATACTGAAAGATTTGACTGATCAGTAGCAATATATGGTGAAAGTGTAACACCAAGATTTTCTTTCGGAATTGGCACTCGGAGAAGAGTTGCCAGTGTTGGAACAATATCGACCTGTTCAACCGATGCTACTAAAAGTTAATGAATGAGCGGATGTTGTTTACTTTACTTATCAAGTTGAGGAACTGGGAATTACTGATCAGTGATATGAACCCAAAGAAAAAATGAAGCACTCCGAAAAAAAATGAATTAAAAATTCTCTGGGAAGATTACAAACTTTATCTCTTTCTGTGATAAACTAAACTTCCAACTGAAAATATTAAATATTTAGATACAATTTATATTTTCTAGCTATAAATAATGTGTTCATTAGTGGAGTTAATTAATATTATTTTTGTTTGTCCTCCAAGTTATTTATCAAACCCATATGATGACGCGTGCATTAAAAAGGACTATAGATGATTCTGGCTAACATTTAGCATGTAGGAAATCAGTGAAAATTACCATACAACGTCTCGTTGCTAGCACGTCGTTCCCTTCCATCAACATAGACAATGGGTACATGAGTTTCTAATTCTGAGGAACCACCATGACTTCCACCTTCCGTCATTCCATGATCACCAAATACAATTATGGAAAAGTTCGTACCGTATACCTGAATTATGCCAAACTAGTTTTTGCTGGATTTTATCGCCTTTTTCCCCCACCAATTCAAGTCGAGAAATCTAATTAATTAAATCTTTTCCTTTTACACATAAAATGTGTGGCATACAGCTCTACATTCTTACTCTACAATATATTCTTATTTGAATTTATATTTTATTCTCTATATTCTTATTCTAATTTGTAATCATATCTAAAAGTGATTGAATGACAGCATCTGATCTCTTGATTTAGATTCATTTCTCTCTTGCTTCTTAAACATTCTTATAATCACATCCATTTTCAGGTAAATAACATAAAATATTTCGCCTTTCACCCAGTTCTTAATTGAACAGTTACTCCTACTTAAATCCATAAATCTCTTAGTTTTTATCCGTTTCCGCTGTTTCCATTGTTCTAGCATATCTGTACCATACCTTGTGAAGCTTTTCGTAGATTTCTTTGATAACGGAATCCATTTCAATAAGCTTACTATCCAACTCGCTGTGTGTACCACCCAGAGAATGTCCTAAAATCACTATTTCACATGATTCCTATTTTCATATTCAACTTGTGTTCAAAATTCACGGCTTAAAAAAAATGATCCTAACAACCACTTTAAAGAAATCAGTGCGAGATCAACCAGATTGCCCCAATTGAAAGGTCCGCTAACTGCAAGAGCGCGTGACATGCTTTTTTAAACTTTTTTAATACAAAAATGGTTTTATATAAATATATCTAAGTTAATTTTGGGTTTTTTCCAATCTGACCTATATGATCAAGTCCCAAGTAATGCAGAATCATCACATCCCACGTTTCGACGGCACTTTTCTCAAGTCGTGAACGCATACAGAGCGTCACATTATCGTCAACCTATAAAATCAAATAAATTAATTCAAGAGATCAGGTTAAATAGTTTTTTTCAGATTCACAGGTTTGCAGAAGTAGTTAAAAATCCGATTCAATGCTATCACCTGGTGGATGTACGTTCTGTGGAACTGGTTTTATATTTCTGGTATCCGAACTAGAAGGTAAGGCATTCAACAGAAGGACTATCATCATAAAGTGTGTCTGACTGATGAGAACCATAGTGAACTATCAATTAACAAGGTATTTTCGGAAGTATTTACTGCCGAAAGGCTAAAGTTACTTCTTTGAAATCATTGACGTAGAATGACGTGACCCCTCCTGAATGATTATCGAAATGACTAGGAAATAATCGCAGCCATGTTTCGTCACCACAAAATGTGCATCTGAAAAATGATAGTATCTGATTTCAACAACTGGAACAGACGTCAGATTTCATCTCGCCATTCCTTTTCATTTTTTCTGCACTTCCTTGTATATTAGAATAACTTCTATTAAATTAAACAATTAAGCTCTAGTAAAAGAAACGTTGACACTCTATGAGTTAAACACATTTCCTAACCATAAAATGCTTCGTAAAAACTTAAAGCTATTTTGTCTTACTTGTAACCTTTATCAATAAATCGATCAATGATGTTATCGCTTGATATGGAAGTGGATGCAAAATTCATTACCACATCGGCAAATGAAGGTACTACACCAGCCGTTACTGCCTGGAACTTAGTGCTAAATGACTTACTTGATTTGACTTAATATTTAAAAAATAAATCCAAAATAACTGCCTGCCTTAATCCTTGGCATTGTTACGGTAGGCGTTTGTACATGCCCGATGAAGGCTACAGCTTGGCCATTGTTTGTTAGTTGACGTAAAAACTGCATGGCTTTTCGGTGATAGAAAAACTGCTCTTGCCAAGCATCGATTAATATTATCACTATTTTTGCCACTATCTGCTTCTTTAATGTTTTCTTCAACATGCTATTATGAGGACATCCTGAAATAGAACAGAAAAGGATGACGATTGTGGGGAGTATCCAGAAATATAATACAGTCTATAAGTAAAAACTAATGAATTCCGTAATTTCGGGTTATGGATCCTTTCTTTCAGTAACATTAATCAGTGCCTAGATAACCGGCTTGCAAAAACTCGGAAACTGATAGATAGGTAAAACGAATTAAGTGGTACTTGAACAAGGAAAATGAAAGGGTGCAGCATGTTAACGAGTGGAAACACAGGATGAAAGTAATAAAACAGGAAGCTTTCCTAAATCATATCAACCAATACTGTTTATTTGTCAATCATTTGCTTCACTATCATTCAATCCCTATCTTTAAAATGGTCAACTTGATTTATTACCGTCGAGAAAGTTGTTTACACTTTGCTCATTGTTTTCGGAATCCAATGGATGCACTTGTTCCGAGAAGAATCCCAAAATAAAGAGCGAAATAGCAGCAATTTGCAACAGACATAATACCAATATCCAAACACTCCTCGAGCACCGCATCGTTCGGCCTCTCAAAAGTAATAGTTGAAAAGAAATGGCACTTCGACCTGTTACCACTCAGATCTTACTTTAAGACCTTCGCTGTCCGAATTTTTCAAACACCGCTCCAGACGATGAATTGATGCCATGTTTCATCAGTTTCAGTGAATAAGTATTCAGTGAATAAGTACTCCATGACATCTAGAGATTCTTACTCTTAGAGTATTGCCAAGAAAGATCAAGATATTTTTCTGTTCGAAAGCTCCAGATGAGCTCCTAACATGAACGGTAATAGAAATAATCACTCCTCCACAACAAATAATTGATAAGAAACCTTGATACTCTTACACTTGATAATCCTCCCGAAGTTTGGAAGTTCAAAAATTGCTTAATCCGTCAAAATCTCAAAATCACAGGTATATGTTTTCATTCAATAGCGCACCCTCCTTTACGAAACAAGAAAAAGTGTACAGAAGTCAGATTCTTCATATTCCCTTCCCCGATGAGACATAACCACGAAAAATCTGCATGACTGGGAATAAATGAGGAGGAACCTCTCCCAGTTGTCCAGATGAATTTTTAACTTTCCACAACCAATATGCTCATTATCAAGAATGAAGCAAACACTTTCCAGGATTAAATCCAATTGCTTTGCAAAGAGTCAACTTTCATTTAGCAGCAATTCCAGTGAACATTTTAAACAACTCGAAATTGGTAGTAAGGTGAACTTTATTGATTAAAAGTTGAAGAGAAGAAAATATGAGAACTATGTGGTGAACATCATATCCTGATTTAAATCCGGATTACAAAATTAAAACCCAACTTAAGATCCATATTCCACAAGGAGTTGGCAAGTATCACCCATGCGAAGCAGTTATTTGCACATATTGGAAACATTACGAGAAAAAAAAAGTGAATAATAATGTATAAAGATGGAATGGACATCATGTTATCCACATCTTCTTGAAGTCGAGAGTTCTTGAATTTGAATTTCATTAGAAATCTGGATGCAGCAAGCTTTGATGTGAATAAAAATCTATGTGAACTTCACATCCTAAAACAGACGAAACGCGAACAATAATGTGAATAATGGCTCTAAAAATAGAGAAAAAAACAAGACAAATCGACCAAGAACCCATTACCTCACTCATGAGACACCTATAACCGAAACAGACTTGACCAAAATCCACTATCCAAGAAGGAAACATTTGCAGTAAATTAGAATAAAGGAAACAAAGTACTGCAGCAACGGATGTATTACTATTGAAGACCAAATAATTTAGTTAGAAAGATAAGCGTGTATGATATCGGTATATTGGTATACTTTCTTTAATGAATTTGTATGCCCGTAAGTTCGATATCGCCATGAATTTGCAAACCGGTAATATCATGAGGGTCGGAACGATGAGCAAATGAACAAAATCGCACGTCATTCACGTAAATCTACAATGATTAATATATTAGAATAACGTGAAATGAATAAAAAAGAGTAGAAAAGCATGTTGGAAAAACAGAATACCACATCTGTCCTTCATTATATTACTTTATTAAATTTTGTTTCGCGGTAGCTTCTCATCTCAGTATAACCACAATTACATGGATAATCTTACAATTTCTACTGTCTTAACTTGAAGGCGAAAATGGAACTCTTCCAATGAATTCCTATCCCCTGATGCCAGAGGATTCAAACCTAATTTCTAATCTGAAATCTCAAAAACCTGAAATCCATATTCTTCATTGACAATTTTCAAATCTGCTCCAACGCCCTTCTCGAATGGCATCTTGCCTTCTCTTTCTTCATTACCCCAATCGCCAGCTTGAAGAGCGTTACGAGTAACTGCCTAAAATAATGAATATTGTAACAATATAAATAAAAATCAAATAACAATGTATAAAAAACCACCTTTCCAGCCATAAAAGTCAAAACAAGATAAATATGAAAACGTAATTTGTACAAGCAGACATTACAGAAGACCTTTTTATTTTTTATTTTTGATCTTCTACTGCAATCCGATGAACATAAAAATAAGGGATAATGAACCAGGAGGAGTTCATAGCTTGGGATGAAGGAAATAATAAACCATGATACTTAAAGTACTTCTCAACAAGCACAAAATCACTGAGTTCATGATGAATTATGGAAACTTATTTTTTAAATATATGAACTGATGCATTTATTTCAGACTGAGAGCAAATCTGATTTCAAATTCCACAACTGTAATTCTAAGGAAGCACTGATAAGATGACCTTTTCATCAAAGCGAGGATTGAAATGCAATGCAATATCACCATTCTTTTTTAACAAATTGATATTGAAACGTTTTGCTTTCTTCTCCGGACATAAGAATACCATCAGCGTTCTCCCGACGGCTAAACCTTGTGAAATACCGCTTTCATAGGGTATGGGCTGAAATCAATCGGAAATTTTTATCCAAAAGTACTGATACATTCTTGTCAATCCAATGACAGTTAATTAAAACTGGAAACTCGACGTTCTTGAGTGATTAGTATAGTCAACTGAACGAACATAGTACTTTCCACCCCAGTGTACTTGATTAAGATACAAATCGCCATCAATCGATAGATGAGAAACGGAAGACAATGGTAAGCGGTGCTCGAAATCTTTGAATTCTTTCTGATCGCAGAAAATCTACAACAATTTCATATTCATTCCTTGTAATTTTATACTTGAAGTAACGTTAATTAAAGCGTGAGAAACTCGTTTATAAACTCCTCTGTAAAAGTTTGGAAGACTGTACTATCAACTTCTTCCGTCTCAAATTATTTATCCATGACCAGTTAGAAGATTTCCAATTAAGATTAATGAAAATTTCCACTCTGATATATCTCTGGGGCCCATAAGTAATATACTTCATCTTCGTATCTTTTGTAGTTACCAGATACCCTATATTTGATCAAAATACCACCGTGACAATGGAAAATAACCGGAAGTTCACACCTGATATCGATCGTCATGTGCTCGAATCCGGATATCGAAAGGCGTACCTTTTTTGAACGGAAGACTTTTGCGTTCCTCTTTACCCCATTCTCCGTTTGCAAAACTATTCATTACAATCTACAAACAAAAAGCATACTATTAGTAGCTGTTATCTACCGTTTACTCTAATTAAAATACCGCATACAAGAAGTTTGAGAATTCATACTGGATAACTGATATCACGATGGTGAATTTATTTATATTTTTTCTGCCAAAGGTTCATGGTGTCATTCAGTCTTCAGCAACTCATTTATTAAACGACATTCAAAAAGTATTCACAGGGCGCCTTTCAATGACTACGTTTTTAAAATCTTTTAGATGTTACCGAAATATCTCAACTGGAATAACTCAACAAAATATTAATATAAATAATTTTAATATAAACAAAAAATTACTTTGCCCTCGTCAAATCTGACTGATATATGAAGTGGCACATCATTCCCACTGAAGTCTGCTGCTTTGCAGTGTAAACTTACCGTAAATCTGAACAAATAATAATGAATATATACATATCAAAGCATCTTCCTTCATCATGATGCATCAATCCTTATTGTTCTTGTAGTTTCAAATATCTCATTATGAATATCACTATGCTATAATATTTTCTTCCAAAAAAAGGGATTTCTTTTTTTTTTGTATCTATAGCTACGTTTACACAATATTCACTGAGGAATATAAAAAAATCCTTGTAATGCTAAGTCAGATCATCCAGTCTTTACTATACAAATGGTCTCAAGGTTGGAATAGAAAATATTATATCCTTCAAGGTGAACTAACTGAAGTCAATCTGAAAGTGAATTCAATACATACCGTTGGCTTTCATCGATCGTTGACCCTTTAATAATCAATGTTTGTCCAGGTTCTATCTTCTCTTGCAGTTGGCTGCGATATGGAATTGGCTGTAAATGATTCAATCTTAACTATTTAATCAAATTCTTCGACAAATATTTTCATTAAATATCACTGTATTAGCCAAATAAAGTATTTCGAACAGCATATTGTCAGCGGTCGCTAGTTTTTATCGATAGGTCCAACTGAATTAGCCGAAACTGGAAATATCCAGAACGTCAACAGTATCTGATACTTTTCGACGAATACATGAGTGACTCAAGCCAACCACTTTCATTAACTGAATTATTGTATTGTTATCATTCAGGAGAAAAATGAGGGCAAAAAGAATCACATAAGATTGTTACTAACATATGATCTCTGGTCGGACATTTCAAACACTTCAGAAATTCTGACAACCTGGAATTAGTAAATTATTATTACATAATGCATATTAATTATTCAGTGTACTCGCAAAAACACCGCGTTTACAAATGACTAGGTGCCACTGCTTTAATTATATTTCTGTGAATTAGTATCGAGTATTCAGCATTATCGCAGTTCGGAAACAATATCCTATTTTTCTTGGTAATAGATAAAATGAAGGAGAATATGAAGTGTTGTGGAACGGAGCTTAGTGTAAAATAGCTAATAGGTAAAACTTGACGAGTGAGGGAACCAGTAATGGGAACGAAAGTACAAAGCTAGAGTGAATTCCTTGAGGAACTACTACTACTATCTTGACAGTTATACATATGAAACTTCTTGGACGAAAAAGGAGAAATTTTTGAGATGAAAAGTTTAAAATAAAAAGAAAGGAACGATAACAGTGATGAAATCAAGAACAGATTGCTTCTTTTTTGAACACATTCAATGTCGATAGCAATTTTCAGCAGTGAATGGCTGTAAGCTCCCTGAGATGTGTAAGAGCAAGATAAGCAATCGAGCATTCTCCCTTGCCATATGTGTAACTAAGAATCCTGCCAGGGCCAGGCCCATAAGCAGTCTTGTTGAACAGTCAGTCCAGTGTGACAGCAACTGTTCCCTCAACTATACATACATATATGCACATAGGTATATCCCTTTTCTCTACACTTTTTTAAAAGAATAAAAAAACACACAAAGCGTATTGGCTATCGCTTTCAAGATAAGACATTGTAGACCGCCCTCGACGCATCATCATCATCGTCATCGTCATCGTCATCATCATCACCATCACCGTCACCATCACTACTATTGCCGCCATCATCAAGATCCAAAACATGGTCTTCACACCAAACGCTTTGCATACTTTGAGCCTTCAGAAAAAGGCAAATAAATTTCGCGAAAAAACCGACCGGTTAAAGTGAGTTAGATGATGACTATCGAAAGTCTTGTAAACCATGAATGGTTGAGGACATAAAGCTGTCGGAACTGTACGTGTTGCTACGAGAAAAGGCAGAATGTATCAAATGATCGAGAAATCCGCTAATCCTCCCGATAATGATATCACTGCTTAAAAATAACCAAAATTACCGATCCATTTCTACTATGATTTTTTCTGTATTAAATAGTAAGACAAATGAAACTTTCTCGAGAGACGGATATAGCACATCTCCTGATGTATGGTACAAAAAGCTCAATAATTTGTTAAAACAAGAAATAAATACTCTCCTGCAGGTAGTGCTTAGTATCCAACATCACAACAATAATCTTTTAAATTTAAAAGTATTTTTTGAAAACAAACTGTCCCAAATCATCCATTCATCTTTTTCGTAATGACTTACTGTTCAATGAATGCTTGCTTACAGCGTGAATGCATGCATGCGTACATGCGTGCATGCACATAGCGGTGTGTCATGCACTGCGTGCATGCATATAGCGGTGTGTCATGCATTTTTCTGAGAGTGTTAACTGATAAATGGATTTATTATCAGCACCTCAAGTTTTTCTTCAAATTAAGCACTTTAAAAAAAATGAAAGTACAAGAAATCTTTTACCGTATCTAACTATCGAACGAAGAATTGCTTATTTCAGATCTCATCACCTCTCCCAAATATTTCATCATTATTTCACTTTTGTTAAGAAGGATAGAAGTGAAATGTAAAGCTTAGTGACCAGAACTATAGCATTAGTTACTAAATGGCCATCAGTGATGGAGTGATGGGTTGTGAGTGAAAGTGATGAAATTTAAAGAATAACAAGCAAGGGATTGATTTCCATCATAGATTAAAAGTTCTACAACTTAAGCAACATAGTCCTGCGCAACTGTTCATCTTTCGAACGTCCCTTTAGCTAAATTACACCGATATACGGTACTTGTATGCATTGTAAAGGGTAGCGGGGTACGGTTATCCGAGTAATATGGAGAGCAAACATATCATAAGCAAAACAACAATTAAGGAAGAAATATGTATCTTAACTATTTACTCTCGAAAATTTACTTCCACAGATCGGAAGACTGTGGTACGATAATATGATGACCGTTCTTCCTCGCTGTTTGGCTTTATCACTGGAAGGAGAGTGTTTGAATAGATACAATCTATCGCTATTAGAAGCATCCCAGTCCTGCATTTTCATTTCCTATGAAAGACAGTAAAACAGCATGTTAAATGCAAGTTTTCTTCTGAGAATGCTCGGAATGACTCATCGAATTTAGTCGGGCACAGATTACTGACGTTGTGAATGCTTCGCATTTCTGTCTCCTAATTGTTTCTAAATTTCTCTATACCAGATATACCAATCCAGTGAAATAATGGAAATTAAAAGAGCAACTGAATACTCAGAATAACATGAAATAATCATCAGTTCGTGAAATTAAATCATACCGCGATGGATTGAGAAGCTTGGAATGAGGTAAATAATTTCGGAATGGAAAGTAGGGACAATTACGTCCAGAAAAATGCGCGGGGAAAAACAAATATGACCAGGGTTTCTGATTAGAACATTTGCTAAAACACGTTGAATATTCGAACCGAATGATAGCGTCTGCAATAAAAGATCCAATCCGGAACCACTTTCAGGTTCATACATTTCTCCCAGTTTCTTTTGATGAACAGCTAGAATTATTGTTCACTATATTTCAGGATTTCATTGGTGTGAATTAATACAGTGCCCTTTTCAAACATTTACATACGAATGTTCCATTTATGTGTAATGTGAAAAATTCAAAGAAAAAGGAGGAAGGAAAAGTCTCTCCTGACAGACAGTAGAAGGATGCCGGTGATCTCAAGGTCAACAAGTTTCATTATACCATGCAATATCGTCTCATACAGATGACGATGAAAAATATCTCACGAAGATGTCATCTCAGTACTTGTAGTTTGCAACAAGGACCAAGGTTTGAACTGACATATCTGGAGTTCTGTGAATGCGACATTCAAAACAGCAACAATTTATGCGTTGAAAGGGAAATCAATGAAACCATTGCTGATAGAAAGGGAAAGGATATGAAAGAAACTTCGAGGTTGGCAATTCATACAAAGAAATCAAACTTGAAATTTAAAACACAAAATTTGATGAGAATGGAAGATGACAACTGAACAAGATATCACATCGTTTGCTAATAGACAATTTACCATTTTTACTTTGTTTCATACATATGTGCCAGTAGATAATTTCATGCCACAAAATGTTGTGTATTTTACCTTGCTCTGTTAGCAATAATCTTGAAAGGAAGGACAGAATTATGCTAGAGATGTGTAGAACTTGATTAAACAATCATGGATGACAATCGAGTTGTGTTTAGAAAAAATAGAAAGTTATTTGTGAGAGATCAAAGATGAAAAATTAACAACTTTTCACTGATAAATTTATCAATTGTTTTGATGTTAAATAAGTTTGCTGCGAAAAAAAAAGTATTGAAATGAAACGATGATGAAATGTTACGATTTCAGATTAGTACCAGGAGATGCAAGCCTTTTTATAAGATCTTCTTGTCGACTAAAATCCTATTACCTTCAATTCTATCGATAAGCAGTGAGCATCACAGAAGTATTCACTTCAAATCAAAAACAAGAAGTAGTAGTTATGGGGTGAAAGAGAATTGAAATTAGAGATTTCATATTATCCCCGTTCATACTGCTTTTTTGTTTTGTTTGTTGGATGATTTATTAATGAACGATCTGAAGCAGTCGGAATATGATGAAGAGAAAACGCATTTGACTGATTGCTAAGTGGTGATTTCACGTAAGTAAACGCAACCTAACGTTTGATCGAAAATTTACGCGGCGTTACTGACACCAATATTTATGATGGAAGTAAAAAGGATAGTTATGATAAGAGAAAGAACTTAAGTGAACAAAAACGATCGTTCGATTCCAAAAGGCATATCACCCTCGTGATGAATCACTTCTTCCAAGGGTCGAGACCAAACCAACACACATTTAAATACTATTCCTCGTCTGATTTCGCATCGGAACACATGTTGATGAATCATCAATAGCATTACTAATCATCAATAGCATTACCAACCCCGTCCCTCGAAGTACATTTCCTTTGACATCAGCAATGGTAGTGTGTGTCATTGTATGTGTGTGTGTCTGTGTGTTGTGTGGGTTCCTGTCCGTCTCTTTGTCTGTCCACCTATCTATGTATGTGAGCGTCTGTGCCTATGAAATTCGTTTTTTTTTTTATTTAACGAACTGGCATACGATAATGGCGATTACTCAGCACATTGCTGATGATGATTTTCTCGTTTGCAAGGGAATGATAATTTTAAGGACAGCCATGGTAGGCCGATGCCATACCACCGCTGAACAGGTTAGCCTAAATCATTTTGATTGATTTGAAAAATCTTTTTTTTTTTGTCCCTCAAATCATTTGTCATTTATTTCCTTGTCTTTTAGAATGTAAACACAGGGAATGTTCCAATTCCCTGGCATTTAAATATGTGATACTTAAATGTGAAACAGTAAGAGTTAGCTCCTAAGAACACTTCATTATTGTTCAATAAATAAGAATTGACATTCCCAACTGTTGACCATTTGATATTGAAAACATTCAAATTTTCTTGAAATGACCAAATTTTTGCTGTGAAAATTATATTCCATTTGGAAATGGTGAATAATGCAATGGGACAGGAATGATGACAGTATGGATTTTCAGGTTTCATTTCTTCCCATGACTGTTCATCGTTCTACATAGGGTTATTGTTGAAATGGTTGTATTATACATGTTATATTGTATAGTTACAGCGATTTAATTTTAGAGATTTAGAGCCATTCCGAAAAATTAAATCCAGAATCTTTCGAGTATTAGTACAACGATTCCCATCCCAATCATGCATTGAACATTCCTAGTTTGCACGGAAGCATCACCATAGTTTAGATTCGGGAATAACCAAAGAACAACAGTAACACACTCTCGGTTAATTTATGCTCATTTCAAAGGTCCCTCTTCAGCAGCAGATCGATTAGAACCTTGTTTTGTTCTGCCTTAATATGAGAAGAGTGTCGCACTGCTGTTACACACAATAATTATTGATATTCACTTGTCCTTGACAAATCAATCCATTGCAGTCCACAGCACAACAGCCACATCACGCATTCATCCCTCTATAAACAGCTAGAAGAACGTTTTGTCTTACAAACTCCTATGTGACCTTACTCAGTTGCATAATTGACAATAATTACCCTCCCTTCCCTATATAGTATTACATATATAAGAAGCTATATATACCCAGAAATCAAGCGTACAAGCGAAGCTTTATTCAGTAAAGTAACCTGACATACTTCAGTGCGCTAACAATTGCTTTCGATCAGTATTGTCCGTCGAATAAAACAGATTCCCAGTCTTATTTGTACGATAAATTGCCAAAACAAGTTAAGCGAAATTTAAGCAACTCTTCAAAGAATTAACAACAATATGGTACGGCGGTGACAAACAATATCTGCTGGCTTAAACGTTTTATTGTCTAAACAGACAAGAAAATTAGAAGGGAAATAAATCACTAAGACGGGACAGTTCTTAATTCTAATAAAAAAGAAATCTGATAAATTCCCAGTGACGCAAGTGATCATAAGGTAAAGCTGGTTCGAACTGATTTGAAAGCAATGCAGAGAGCTCGGATTTTCATCATGACAATTTTGTCAAGTGATTTGGTTGTTTCCGGCAAACTTTCAACTAGTCCGTTGACCAGAGTTTGTATCCAATAAAACAGTAGACTAGGAGATATAAAGTTCAAACTATAATTCGAATTGGCTTAAGTCTGTCTTCAACAGAAGTTGAAAGTACATCAAGATTTATAAAATATCGAAACATCCATAGAAAGAGAAACAGAGAGAGCGAAGTTATTTCAGATAACAAAATCAAACGAAGGAAGAAGACTTCTCCCAGAGTTACCAATTAACGTCTGACATCTTACAACTGTCCACAATTCGCGACTACTACATCCTTTGATGTCTTGCCACTTTGTGAACCCTGCAAAATAACACGATAATTAGAACTGAAATCCATTCGTGTTGAAAAGATCAAGACACGGCGAATAATGCAACCTTGATAATTCCACATATCATCTCTTAGACAACCTTTACCCCTTCTTCACATATATTATTTGTCCCAGCGAAATATGCAAACTCACCACTGCTTCAATTTTTTGTACGACATCCATTCCTTCGACAACTCGGCCGAATACAACATGCTTACCATCCAACCAATCCGTCTTCACAGTGCATAAGAAGAACTGAGATCCATTCGTGTTTGGTCCGGCATTTGCCTAAATCAAACTGAATAAATTTGAAGTCCCTTCACTCAAAACTCATGGAAACAATGAAAACCAACCGTGAATAATTCGAAAAACGGTGAATATTTCCTAATCCAGCAAGACCCCTCTCCCCACTTCACATGGAAATTCGTATATAGACTAGGTACAGTGACTAAGAACATCGAGGAAAGCGAACTCAGCAGCATCACATGTCTAGCGAAAACTGGGACAACTTTTTCACTGTATTTTCAATACCACAGCCAAATCATCACTGCTCGCTTTATTCAGGAGGAATGAGGAATAGCAGGCAGGAGTGGAACTACCAAACGATAACTGTGTTTCGCACGATTTTAACACTGAGCTATTAAACCCCTCGCTGTTGCATGTGTCATGTGATTAACTAACCTCTCCTTGTACCTGGCCACACTGATCTACTTTATTTGTTCAAGACTTTTCTTCAATTTTATCGGTTGTTGCAGACAAGGAACGGAAGAAAGTTATAAATTTTCTGTATAAAGATGAAATATGAACCGATCCTCGGCACTTCCAACAATTCATTATTCAACAAACCCAATCGATATTGCGCTCATAGCGCTAGGTTTACTAGCAACCTGTTTGTTGTCGTACGTGCTTACCATGGATAGCACACCAGGTCCATTGTGCTTTTCCTTGAAGTTTTCATCTTCAAATTTCTCACCATAAATGGATTCACCGCCGGTCCCATTGCTGCGCGTGAAATCACCACCCTAAGCAGCATAAGTTTACATCAACTTTTGAACGCCAAAATGATTCCCTCATGACACAAATGCAAACCACTCTTCATATTCGTCAATATTTTCATCAAATTCATGTTTGTTCTTTCATTCCAGAGCATTCACTCCCAGATGCATCCGTGACAACCATTACTCCCATGCAAAGCGAATCCACAAACCCGATGGTGTCTGCTGCTATCAAACGTCATGCACTACCACACCCTACACCCGCATCTTTTCAGGAGTTAAAATATAGCATAACAAATAGTAGTACTTCCTCATATTGCACTCCTTAAAGCGCTGCTAACTTCCAGTAGAAAAAATTCAGCCGTGACAAGAGAGCTAACAGCAAAACTCCAACTGTATCAGAACTTGTTAATGTCGCTCTGATCTACATGAATTAGTCCCATATTTAACCTCCTAAAATTTACAGCCTATTAAAAAATAATCCTATTACAAGACCGCATGCTTCCAAATTTTGAATTACAGCATACACTGATTGAACTGACAAATAAGAACGAATACGGCAAACCTGGCACATGAAATTTGGGATAACTCGGTGGAATTTTGAACCTTTGTAATGTAGCGGCTTTCCAGACTTGCCAATGCCCTTCTCACCCGTGCACAATGCACGGAAATTTTCCGCTGTTTTCGGCACTACATCGCTGAACAACTGGAAGAATATAGAGCTAATTTAATTTATTTTTCCCATAATCACAATAATAATTACTACGAATATCATTCCTAACCATCTTAACCTTTCTTAACATTATTATTATTGAAATTGTGACAACCCGTAAAAATTAACGAAGTCAAAACGGTGTTTCGCGGAATTTACAAACAGGATACAAACGGAAAGTTTAAAGATCATACTATAGAAAACATCATATTTCGGTGCAATGTTAATTTATACGGTAAAACTTTGTCCCATCTGTTAAACAGCTTAGCATACTCTAAATTTTGTCGTCTAGTCTCATGTCAACTCAAAAGATTACTCCGGAAAAGCTTCCCCCTCAAAACATCTAAAGAACCTCAACATCCAGCTGTGTTATACCAACTCCGTGAATTACGACGTCAAATCGAAAAACATACAAAAAAAAGCAACCCACCTCCATAACGATACGTCCAGATGCATTTCCGCCAATGGTAATATCAAAAAAGACGCGTGGACGAGTCATGTTCCCGCCAAACTGAAAAAAGTTTTTGCAGAAAAGTTTTTGCTTTCGCGATGTATAGGAAGAAAATATCCGAAGCGACAAATCTTCCACATTAACACATAGATGCAACCGAAATGCAACAAAATATCTATTAGACTAGTATAATTGGTGGTTTTGCTGTGGTAATATCGACATCATCATAATATACTGATAGTTAAAGTGATGCAGATGGTCAACACACGACATGTGATATTACTACTAATAAATGCCGGCAGAATTTATTCATGTACAAATGACAATATTAATGATTTCCTTACGGATCAAATTTCTGTACAGAGCATACGTACATCACGCTTATTGCTAGTTCAAAAACATCATATGTAAGAATGCGCTATCAGAAATCTGCTATCAATATGAGAAAAAACAATTACGGAATTAAGAACGAGAACCATTCCAATCAACTATTGTCCAGAATCGGAAAATTTTGAAGTAGTGATAATAGGTCAACAATGAATCAAGAAGATATGTTTTTCCTGTTTTTTTCGAAAATAGTTGCCGGGAATGATTTCTCGTTTGATCTCACATCTTGCAATGATAGCAGATGATTTCTAATTGTTAACTCATTCTCACATATAATGCATTTCGACAATCGACTCATTCTATAAGATTGATATCATTCCACCTGTGGGTTTCATTCAGTTGGCCAGAAAAATGAAACTTTCGACTGCATCCGTCTTCCATACAAATGAGTCATCTCACGAAATGATACAGCTGTGAACCAATCAATTTTGAACCGGAAAGGAAAACGAATCATATTACAGAAGGAGCAAAAAAAGGTTCCATAGATTTCAGGAAAATTCTAGAATGGCTATCTATTTAATCTATACATATATTCATTCCAGTGGGAAGATGGAGGTCGGAATATGAGGACGGACAGCTGACAGTAGATCTTGGCGGAAAAATCGTGGCTCGAAGGGACAGCAAAGGAAGATGGAGAGAGAGAGAGAAAAAGAGAAGGGAAATGCGGAGAGAAATAAGAGAAAAAGTTTTCCAAGAAATTAAACAACCTGTTAAGATTATCTTTTCCTTCTGACCATAACTTAAAATAGAAATTACTTGAGGCTAATGACCTATTCAACAGAGTTGCCTAAACTTAAAGCACTAAGTGACCATTCGAGCTAGGTTTGTAATGTCAGTTATGCGCAAAAACTTCTTCGACACCTATTCAGTCCCTGTTTAATATTCAGAAAGTGCGGGAACCATTAGTCCAGGGTCATCGCTACTTTCTGAACATGAACGATTAAACATGACACATGCTAGCGCGCAAATATGAATATCAAGTTGATATACAGTATACGTGACACGTCACGAAATGCAATAAGAGAGCGGAGGTGTAGAACGAGATGTCAAACAATCGTACGCCCCCTCCTATATTCCTCCTCTAGTCAACTATTACTCTGCTGGTTATAAGGGACGATTGTGTAGATTGTGGGTGTGTGTGTGTATGTGTGTGTGTGTGTGTGCATATGTGTGTGCGTGTGTGTATGTGTGTGTCAAGCAAGAGAAAGGGAGGAGAATGTATGAAAGCGCTTGTCTGACAAGGACGATGAGCATTCCTCTATGAGAGAGAGTTGCAACATGAAGAGGGAACAGACGTATGCAGACGATATGAATTACTCCGAAGAAGGATGTAAGACGAGAGTGACTCGTTATGATCAACGGGCCGCATCCTCTCGTCGTCATTGATAAGTGATGGAAAAAAGTGGAAGCGTTTGTGAGGAAATGTTTAGACGTAGAATAATAGTGCGACAACTGCGCTACAATTCCACATTGTCAATATTTTGACCCGTATGTTGCTAAACCACCCTAACATTGTGATTATTTTCATATCTTGCATAACCTGTTTCTTAATTTTTCTACTGTGACATAGATACGGTATGCATATGTTGTAGGATATACCTGGATGCTTGTCAATAAGGACAGGTAAATGCATTCAGTTAATCTACTCTTTCTTCCCATGGTTAGAATCTGCTGCTTATCTCCGTTCGAGTAATCAGAGTATACTCTATGATCACACGATTTTGCAGAAATTGAAGGAAATGGTTCAGTGAACTTTCCAAGGTCATTGTTTTGCTGACATTGTGCAACTCAAAAAATCACTAAAATAGGTCCGTTTTGGGGACACATAACAGTGTTCGAGTGCAGGCCTGTCTGGGTACAAGCTATTGCCTTTTACCATACTTGATACTACTGTTTAATTGCAAAAAAAAAAATTCTAAGGAAGGAATAATGCACAATTTTTAAATTCAGCCAGTAATTGCCCCTCTGGTCAAGGAAACATTATTCGAAACAGTGAAACCGAAGTACTGTCCACTTACCTTCTTATCACTGGAATCGCCAGCACCATTACCGTCGATATCAGCTCCATCATCATGACCTCTTTTCGGCAAGCTCATCATCAATTTCCTTCCGCACGATTATCGATTATAACAACCAACGAACAAGTGTAACCCAAATTTTATGACTGTATTCGTGTTTGTTTGACTGTTTATACTACCATCTAATGAATATGCAAATTTTTCGGCAAGCAAAAATACGAGAATATGGTTGATGTCCAGTGAGCAGTACTTCAGGGAAGAGCTATACTGGATGGGAACCGTTTTACAGAGCATAATAATAAATTAATTAGTTGATTCCAGGTGATAATTAACTATCTTCCTCTGTTTTTTCCCTTAAGTATCCTTCTCTTTTGTGCATGGAAATGTTTGAAAATTTTGGATTTGCTCGGAAGACTGCTAAAAATCGAGAAGAGAGGATGGTTTGAAATGAAAAGTAATTTCAAAAGATATTGTAAAATACTTGGAAATACATCTATCATACGATATAATCGGCGCGTTTAGGATCAGCTTTTCGGATGCATCAAAAGACAATGTTACATCTAATCAATCCCTGCCTAAATAACTCTACATCTTACTTCTGTAAGACTAAATGAACAAGTCTTTTGAAAGATGAATTATTAACATTCGAAAGAAGGATGGATTGGACGGTTGTTTTAGTTGATCACTGTTGCTTGATCAGTGATTAATTAGCAAGTTATAATTGTAATGGCTTGAACTTGAACTTGAGCTAAGATCTGCCCTCGAATTTGAAAAATTCAAAAAACTTCAGCAAACAACAACAGTGTCTTTTCGGTTTTAATAAGAAGAAGTTGGCGCAATGCAACCACGTAGAACATATGGCGTTTATGCTTAATTAATTGCTTCAAATTCGATAGGTTTTAAAGCTTTCCAAAGTAACAGACTCACAAAATACGTATTGCAACTTATGCTTTTAGCAAGTTGCCCCTTTGATCTGATCATCTTCCGTGTTTTTCTTGCTTCCTCCTTCCACAAATAACACATTCATATACTGTTCCGACAGATCTTTGTTGTGATTAGTCGTATGCCATGTCATGCTTTTAGTTTTATAAACAGCAGACGATCTGAGTCGATCGGTTGTTCTTCTCGCTCCGTTAAGCACTTATAAACTAGCAATACTTAGGTGTAAAGCATTCGCCAGTACGGTAGAAATGAGTTTTTGGGAATTCTTTGCTTCCTTAAATTTGAATTACTGTTTCGTGAAAATTAATTGGAAACTGACTGATAATCTTTTAGTTGATAAATTAGTTGATAACCTTATTCTCAATCTTGATACAAATTTTTTTCTTTTCACAGCATCATTGAAACAGCATTGAAGTTGTCAGATTCTTGATACAATTCAGATTCTTCTGTTTTAAATTTCTGAAGGATTTTTCAGACTAACAATGATGAATTTCTTTCAAGGTCAGTTGGTTTTCTTTTTTTCTAGCAGAAACAGAATCAACAAAGCTGTCATCTACTTTGGATTTATTTTGTTTAATCCTTTCTATATTTGTGCAAGGAAAAGATAGGGAAAGAAATGAGCATATCATTCAATTGTTTCCTTATCATCATTCCTATAACGGAAAAGATCAATGCAGTAATTCATGGCGTTGAATTTCACAACGAATTTGGAGTTCTGATTGCATGGTTTTTGTACTATGAACAAATAGATCGAAAGTTTCCACAGCAGTTTTGTCAACACTTCCAATTGCTCCTGAATGTCATTTTTTTACGATCAAATACAGATCAGAAACAGATTTTGATGAACATGCCAAACCAGTTATGAACACCAAAGCTCTCTTTTCCCACCTTCCCTCGTTCCTCGTTCACCAGTAAAAAGAATACTTTTCGTGTAACAGCAATTACCTAATGTCTCTATGAAGAATAAGCGAAACTGACTTATACTTTCGGGTGGACAGTAATAATACAAAAGAAACGAAGTACAAAGTTGTCAACCATCTATAACTGAAGTCCTATTGTTGTTATCGTGAAAGTGCCATTTACACGATTATCCGTCTAATATTGTGGATCAGAGTCGCTAACGATATCCCTTGATATTACTGTTATTATCATTCTAATTCTGAAGTTATCCATCAGAGAAAAGCAATTCTTTTTAGTTTAATTTTAATGTTATCATTTAATGCAGAGTATCAAATTTTGATATCATATCATTGTGTACGATGTATAAATATGTTTAGTATTGATATTAGTTGGATTGGGGTTGCTGGAGATCTGCTTAAGTGAAGACGGACACACAAAACATGATGGAATGCAACCAAAGGAAGTGAACTATAAGAAATTTATCGGTGAAAGACAGTATGTAAGTACAGCATTCTGAATCATACTGAATATGCTCTTCTGTTGTATATATTTACCTAATCGATGATCCTAACTGTGTGAATTAAATTGCAATATCTGAGAAAATAAAGTCGCCATTAAATTTAATGTTATTATCCTGGCTAGTGAATCAAAAATTTTCAAAATGGTATAGTCTAAGTTATCAGGTTTAAGTCTTAGAAACAACAAGGTTGTTAAAGCTGGTGCCACGAAACTCATGGTAATTGAAGAAAATGACTCTCATAACTTTACTTCAAAGAGACAATTTTCTTCTTGTACGATTATATGCTCTTTATTATAGTTAATTAATAAAAGATAAAGTGAGACAGATGATTGAGTCATCGATAGACTTAACAAGGTCATGTACTTTCAATAAGAGAGTTACTAATTGCAGGCAGTGCCATTTAAAACTCGAATTAGCCAGCCATTCCAAGAAGGACAGACCATTCATGGAGTTGGCATGATAAAACCTGATGCCAAGAGGTATAGAACGATTCATTTAAATTTTAGAAATCTCTTTTAGAAAATTGCAGATAATTCTTTGACATTTTGCATCCATCTTGAAGTCATTTGCATTCATGCAAGGCAGGGTCATATGAATTACTCTGAAAATTTAAAGATAAATCAGTAAGTGTATTTTTAACTATAGTCGGAAATACTTCTTGAAGATTACAAATCCATAATGATGTTTTCAACTTGGTTCACTGTTCCGCAAATATTCTATTATTTTAGGCTGTTTTAGAGAAGTGATCTGTTCATTGGAAATATTCTTCTTTAGGTGTTTTTCTTAACCAAAAAAAAGAGGTCTGAATTTATGAAATGAAGGAAGTTAATTTACAAATAGATTTTAGGATTGATATTAATTTCCACAAAGGTGCAGGTAAGGATGTTGATCTACCGCTACATCTCAGTATCCGATTTGATGAAGGTAATTTTTAGTTTCCTCCTATAGCATTTAGCTGAACCTTTTTGTCATACTCCGTGCAGTTTCATTTCCTAACATTCCGTTCCAGGAAAAATGGTTTATAATTCATACGTGGGCGGTATTTGGAGCAGTAAGGAACAACGACTAAAAAATCTTTTCAAGCCAAATACAGAAATGGATATTCGAATTCGCATTATCAATAGTAAATATCAAGTACGGTACCCAATTCATGTCTATTTTAAGAAGTTTAAATGAGGGTTTTTATAAAACATTAATGGTTTTCCCCTTCCTTCTCTTAGTACTATGGCAATTTCAAATAGATGATCGTGACTGTCTTGTTCCGTTAGTCTTTTTATCATTACAATTATCTAAAGTCAATAAGTTTATCAGAAGTATCAGTGTCATATAGAGACGATAACTTCTTTTATCATTTGTCATGTGAATTTGAATTAATGTCAAACATACAGATATTTGCAAATCGTGTGGAAGTGGGTACGTTCGAACAGCGAGTACCACTAGATGGGGTAAGTAAATTTTCTCTCTTTCAGTAGTATTTTCTCCAGATAATTAAGTCTCCCACTTAAACTTATGTTAATTTCTCAAAACTTAATCTTTCATTGATTCATATTCTCTAATCCGTCAAAAATGCTTCATTCACAAAAGCCATATAAATATTTTATCTCGTTGGCGCTTACGTCAAATAGCACGATGAACACAGTCAGAACTTGAGTTATAAATTATTTTAAAGTTTAAAGATTGATACAATCAGCTTCCTCTTTTGTTCAATGATAAACAAGACAGCGCTTTCAAAATGAATTATTTCAGGTGGATCACGTATCGATTAATGGTGATTTGGTTAGTCTTCGATTATTCCACTACGGTGGTCGAGTATTTCCGATACCATATACCGCGGTCGCCGAAGTTGTCCCAGGAAAACGACTGGACATTTCTTTATTGCCAACCGGTAAGTGTAGTTACAATTATCGATGATGGACTCTTTAATCTTTTGTCAAGTAGTCTTTTTGACTGTCTAGATTATCCAATAATAATATTAAAAAGGTGCATTTAATATAAGTGGACAAAGGACAATACTTGCTGCAAAAGAATCATGGATGGAAATTTTGTTTCTAAAATATCTACCCATCAGTTTGTATAAAGAATTGTAAAATTGGAAGGGATCAATGATTTGACTCATCAGAGTTATCCAAATGATAAATGAAATGATAACAGAATTGGTGAAATTTAAAAGGCGCAAGTGGACATTTGACCAAATCTGCTATGCCATTTGAAATGTTATAAGTTATTGGAGTGAAAAAAAAATGAATACGAATTTAGGCCAACGATTTAATATCAATTTATACAACAGTAATCGACAGTATGCATTGCAAATATCCATAAGATTCAATGAAGGTAGTGTGGTACGCAATGCGATGACGAATAATGCTTGGGGACGGGAAGAACGGGAAGGCGCGATGCCGATTGTCAAAGCGGAAATGTTGATTTCTTCATATTTTATCTCATCTTAAAAGCTTAACTTTTTAGCATTATCACTCTGAGTTTTGTCGGGATTTTCTGATCATTTAATGCAGTTAAATAGTGACTGCCAACATAATCATCCATATGCCGGAATACAGGAATTATAATTTCATGCACAATAAACAAGAATTTCTCAGTAGGTCTTAACTGATAAAAAGTTTGATCTTTAATATCAAAAAGTTGGCCCTCCATCACATTTTACGCGTTTTTAAAACCATGGAAATTATGCAAATGTATTAAAAAGAATTGGGGATAAGAGTAGTTTAGCCAACAAATAAATATTTTTCATCATTTCAGTGCCGATATAACGATTATCAATGAGAGATACAGCTTCCAGATTTTCTTCAACGGTGTTCGCTTTACGACATTTGCGCACCGTGGCTCGCCAGATGATATTAAAACTTTGGAAATTGATGGTGAATGTGAAATATTTTCTGTCACAGTTAATGATGCAGTTGGTGTATAATAGAGTCTTCCATCTATAATCTATCTTTTACTCTCTCTTATCAAACTCTGGTAGCGTTTATCATTTATTTGAAGCAGCACTTCTTTTGACATATGTCCATTTCATAGTTTACCATTTCTCTTGCATTTTAAAAGCCAAGGCATATCCATCATGATTTTTCTCAATCAATAGTACTGAAAACTAGATGAAGCCAGTTTATCACATTTAGCTAGCATGTTTTAAAACGAAAAATTCTACTTTGAGACGATTAATTTCCTTACGTTTACCTTACAAATATTTTCAATTCGTGCGGATTTGACGTACAAGTTTAAATTGCCTTTCCTTCATGCAAAAAAGCGTAAATTTTATGTTCAACACGTGAAAAAAAGCGATTACATGTGACACACACACACACACACACACACACACACACACACACACACACACACACACACACACACACACACACACACACACACACACACACACACACACACACACACACACA